CCCCAAAACCCCAAAACCCCAAAACCCCAAAACCCCGTAAGAAAGTTTTCACTAAGTTTGATAAGTATAATTATAGAGTTAAATTAATTTCAATTTTTATGGATAACTTTCATAGAATACGGGCTCACATAAGTTTTCCTATTATCTGTTATTTTTTTAAGCACTGGAAAATTCTTTTTGGTTTGATTAAGTTAGGCAACCACGTTATTCTGATTTGTTGGAACGATTTAAGGTGGGTGTGGGGAAACATTAGTATTCTTCTTTTTCTAGCCTTTTTTATTACCCATAAATATTGGAGGCAATTATTACTACAAAAATTAAAGTATTAAATCAGGCTAATTCTTACCATTCCATTACTGTTCATATTAAGTCCTTAGACTGAGTTTTAATCATCTAGGTCTGAGGTAAAAGTTTGGTTCTTTGAGTTCTCTATCTTCAAGTCAGCCAAAGTACCACTTCCTTGACCTGGAATACTCTACTTATTAGTCTTATATTTATCGAGTGATATTTTCTTATCCTACTATTGTTAGGGATACTTTCCTTCACTCACACTGTCAGATGGAAATTTTGAGAGACTAGATCAAAATTAATTGAATAAAACAATACCTCTAAGCTTTTTGTGACATTGTTTCATTTCCTCTCTGAGTCAAACCCATAATTCCCATTTGTGAGGGTGGATTTTGTGGACTTGGCTCCACTATTGATTTATCTGCCTCTCTTAACTCCTTAAAGCAGTTATGCTTAAGTGCTTGGCTTGCCGTCATTCTATTATCTGCATTATAAGCTAGTAACTTTATTATAACGTCTTGGACATCAACATGCACATGAGGGATTAATTTAGCTATTCCAGTACCTTCTTTCTTTGGAAAATTGAATTCCATATGACTTGCTTATCTATTAATAGAGTATTTTACAGGAAGGATTAATATACTTCTAAAATTTGTCTAATACATCTTGAGTTGGAGTTCCAAGAATATTATGAATTTTATGAACTTAATCCAGTTCATTGTTGCCTGGGAATAAAGGAAATAGTGCGAGCATTTCAAAAAATACACAACCCACACCCCAATAATCCATCTTGTGATTGTAGTAACCGTCTGTCAAAAGGCATTCTGGTGGTCTATACCATCTCGTAGAAATGTATTCAGTGAATGGGGGTTAAGAGTAAACACCTCTACAGGATCCAAAATCAGCTAGCTTTACTTAATCATCCTTTATCAAGATATTTTCACTAAACAAACCGATTGAATGAGATTATGATAATTGATTGGGGAAAATTTTGGATTTGTAGAAATATTCTTACGGTTTAATATCTCTATGATAAATTCCATTTTTATGCATATGATCAATAGATTTAAGCACCTGATACATATAGAATTTAACTCTTTACTCTGGTAAATAATTTCGACGTCCTTTAATAGCCTCATACATATTCATATCCATCAATTCGAATACCAGAGCTAATCTGCCTGTCGGCTCATCGCTATAAATTTATGCTTAGTTTGATATTTATTATTTTTATCGAGACTAATTGCTTTAAAACTTACTATAATACTTCATGCAATGTTATTATATTTGGATGAGGAGAGAGTCTTTTAAGTGCCTGAATTTCCCTTAATTTGTTAACCTTTAGAATTATTTAAGTTTGTCGCAAAACTCATAAATTCATACCTGATCAATATCGTAAAAATGAGCCTTCATGCATTTAATGGCAACATACTTCCCAGTTTTGATTGATTAGGCTTTTAATACCTCTGAAAAAGTACCCTCACCTTTCTTACTTATAAGTCTGTATTCTATCGATATCATCGTTATTTCAAATAGTATTTATGAACTTACTGTGCATATTTTTTTAAGAATAAACAATACTTTAGTATAATTAACAGTAATAATTCTAAATCAAATAATTATATAATTTCAATTTTTAAGAATATAATGCAGAAAATACCTTAAAAAGCGAATACCATTACAAACAATATAAATTTGAACATTATGATTGAAAATCAGAGAGTGTCCAATACTAAACTAAGGAAAGGCTCCGATACTAAGACTTCTTAGGCAAATGAGACTCAGCTAGAAAGATTATCTAAAGAAAAAGCAAAAAAATTATAGCAGCCTGTACCAGTGAAATAAAACCTTTTTAATTAAGATTAATCGCTTCTTAAGCTAAAATTAAAAAAGACGGCTAACACTGATAAGCAAATTGAAAGAAAAATTTAGCCTCTGAATGATGTTTTCTCTGCATCAGAGTTAGGGATGGAGGATCAAGTGATTGGTGAGATGCTAGATAAATAGCTCAAAATGCAAAATTAAAACCCACTTATGAAAGATTTGAATATGAAAATGAAGGCTGAAAAGTATCATAATCAAATTAAGTCCCCCCTCATTTATGAAGAAGATGATGACTACAATGTGCTTGGCAACCAATTCAAGGATTATTTAATTGATCAAAGAAATCAATTCATAGATGATGAATACCATGAAACAGATTTAGACATAAAAGTGCCTACATTTTTGAGCAGAGGATCTTTGGAGCCTAATGACAATAATTAATTCTATATGACATAAATGATTAATAAATCCCGATAGGCTCCCTTAAATGCGACTTAACTTAGCAATTTTAGTAACCAAAAGAACAGTGTTATCGGGCAAAGTATGAAACAGTCTAAATCTCAGCTAAAAGGGTCTAACTCGAAAAAAAGTGTTTAAAGTCTTGTGAATAGATCTTAAGTCATCAAAACATCTTACAAAAGAAAGTAAATTAGTCCACTTAATAATAATCCAGTCAACAGAAAGCATGATAGAAACATATTTGATAAATATATGAATTTCAATGAGTTCGGATCATATGGATTGACTCAGAAAAATCATAATCCAAGTATGGGGAAAAAAACCAATTAAACTAACTTAAATACTTCCTCGATATTGATGAATCATAACTTTGATATGCTAAATTCAACAGCACCTTTAAATATGACTTAGATTAACAAAATTTATGATGAACCGCAATTTAACGAATAAGGACTTACCGATGTTGTTACAAGCACTCAAAATCTTAGAAGAATAAATAGTAAGGATAGCTGGAAGGAGTAAAATTAATAGTTTGATATGACATCATTATATTATAGTGGGGTAATTGGAAGTTAAAATCAGATCAATTTAAGTAATAATCTCACTTAAAATACAGTAACTCCATTGAAAGAATAATAAAAAAAGAAGTTGCTAATTAAAAACATCCTCAACTAAGAGGGATTTACATAGGAGAAGAATAAAAAGTATTTCCTAAATCTAACTTTATAGCAACTAATACAACAATAAAAAATGGGAGGGGCTAAGTAGTAGTAATAAGATTATTAGTCATAGATCATGGAGAAGAGCTTTGACTCGAAGAGACAAGTTAAGAATCAAAAGAGACTTAATAAAACACTCGATAATTTTCAAGATGAAAATCTTCACAAGAATACTATAGCTACTTAAAATATAAATTTAACCTAAGATAACCAAAATCTACGATCATTCATAAATAATTTCATCTAAGGAAGCTAAGTAAACCTCCAATTTTAATAGAAATAACCATCTAGATAAAAACAGGCAACAAGCTTCCTGAGCAATAAATTATCTAGTACTATGAAAATACAGGATTTTAACAATACATAGTAGATCTTTGACAATAAACTCAATAACTAAGTTAAAAAATCCAAGAGTAGTTTAAAAAGCACTTAAAATATAAATTTCTAAGATGAAAATCAATAAATAAATTAGGTGAATCAGCCTAAAAAGTACTCAGCTCTGTCTCAGTATAGTATGAATAATGGGGGCTAAATTCAAAATAATTCTAATTTTGCTAAATCCAGAAAGATCATCAATACTAAAAATGCTATTCATATAAATCTATCTAAGCCAGGAAGCTAAACTAAGCACAAAAGGTAAACATCATAAGAGAAAACCACAATGCAACAGATACTCAACTTCTATCAGGATGATAATATTAATCCACTAATTGGAACTGAATTGAAGAGTAAAACATTTGCTTAAAATCCAAAGGAACATATTGGCAATATTTAGTTCAATCCTAATTTAGGAAACATATATTCTCAAACTCAAATGAAATACAAAACCAATACAAATCTCAATTAATATCTATAAAATTCGAGGTTTAACAAGAACTCCTATTAGACTCAAGGGATTAAGAAGGAAAACAATAAAAATTTAAGCAATTCATTTATGAATTTGGTTGGCGATAAATTTAATTAGACTATGCTAAATAATAATAATGCTGTTAATAATCTTAATGATTAGAAGAACTTTGAAAATTTTGATGTTACTCAATAATGTGATACCACTTAAAATTATGTTTAGCCTGATTTCAAGAAGAATAAAACTATGATTCCTAAGAATCACATATAATTTTAAAAGCATAGAGATAGAGATCTCATTCAGTCTGCAATTCTGAATAATAACTATCAGGTAGATAATGACAATAGAAAGAATCCTTATTCGAATAAGAAATCTAGTAAGCAAAAGAAAGAGTAAATAAAGGAAATTCAAAATAAAACTCAACCTATCCCTAAGCACATATTAGAAATTGCTTAAGCAGAAGCAGTCAACTTCAGTACAGGCACAAGCATCATTGGTGTAAAGCAAAATTCCTAGTAAAGTATTAAATCAAAATCTAACACAAGAAAACAAAATTAAAAGGGAATAAGAGTAGAAGAAATATAACTATAAGGAAACTTTGATAACTATTAAATTTAGCAACAGTAAAGAAAGGGAGCAAAAGAAGATAACCCTTCATAAATTTATAATAATAAGAACACTGTTATCCTTGATGAGAATTTAGAATAGGTAAAAGATAGTTTAGAGACTCAAGAAAATGAATAACTTTCTAAGCTTGATAAATTCGTTTTGGGAAAGCAGATAGGGTAAGGTGCCTATGCTGTAGTAAGAGTAGCAACCTCTAAAAGAGACAATCAGAAATATGCTATCAAAATCTATGATAAATCAAAATTGACTGACACAAACAGGCAGAGAAGTGTCAGAAGAGAAATAAAATTGCTCTAAAAAATGAATCATTAGAACATAGTAAAAATATTTGAGGCTTTTGAGACTGATGATCATGTTTACTTAGTAATGGAATTCGTTGGGGGTGGTAATTTATACAATTACTTGAAACAACATAAAAACTCTAGGCTGGAAGAAGAGGAGGCAAAAAGAATTTTCAAGCAATTACTAACTGCATTATCTTACTGCCATAGAAAAAGTATTGCACATAGAGATATTAAACTGGAAAACATATTATTAGATGAAGATAGAAATGTAAAGCTAATCGATTTTGGCTTTTCAACATGCATTCCAAATGATAAAAAAATTAAAATGTTTTGCGGAACTCCATCTTATATGGCTCCTGAAATAGTCATGAAGTTAGAATATGCTGGACCTCCTGCAGACATTTGGGCTTCTGGAGTATTGCTTTATGCCTTGATGAATGGAAAATTTCCATTTAGAGGAGATACTGACAAAGATTTGTACAGAAGAATATAGAGAGGTACTTTTGATATTCATAACCCTCAGGTCTCATCTTCTTTGGTGGTATTCTTATCTAAAATGATAAACACTGATGCTGATTAGAGAGCCGTTGCTGAAGATCTTTTATAAGATGAATGGTTCAAGATGAAATCAGGGGAAAATAATTTTGATAATGAGTAATAAAAGTTGTAATATATGAACGACTAAAAGAGAATCTTTAAAGCTAAAATTCTTGCTAAAATACCAGTAGAGAAGAAACAGAATACTATTTGCTTACTATCAGCTGAGAGTAAACCTCAAGGGTAAAGACAATCTAGTCATAATATAAATCTTGGCTAGATAAATCAAAATAACTTTACAAATTAGCAGAGTAATTTTAGATAAAATCCCAACTTATAAGATTAATCAGACTATGGAACATAGCCCTTAAATATGATTAGAAAGCTTAATCAGGAAGCCTATTAGGCATATTATAATACTTCAGGAGGAATGTATGGATAACAAGCTACTACAAATGTTTAAAATCCATACTACAATAACTATTTCACAACAAATAATGGCTATGTTAGTTAGCAAAACTAATAATAGCAACAGCAATAGCAATAATAACAGCCTTAATTCTAAGCACCTCAAAATCTTAATAATCAGCACAATGTACAGGGCTTTACTCATGGATTAAATAACATTATGAATAATAATATGAATACCTAATTCAGATAATCTCCTAGCAAGCAAGGTATCAATATCAATACTAATCCGTCATTTTTCCCTGTGAATTTCCAGTAGCAGCCTCCTAATCAAATTGGCACTCCCTAAGTATTTGGATCCCCAACTGGCTTCTAATGCACAGCTGGTTTGATCAATAATAATTTTAACATAGTTAATAACATAACCTAAGTAACTTGTCTGCCTTAAAATAATTTAAGCGAACTCAAGCATAGTGACATCAGATCTCATTCTAATCCTAGCAGTGGTCATAATACTAACAAGGCATATGAAGCGAATAAAGAAGTTCAAAATTAAAAGAAAATAGATTTGAGTAATTAAGGAGGCCATTTGTCCTCTGACTTGGATGAAGATATAATAGAGTCAATCACATACTTAGGATATCATAGATCCCACGTAGTGAGTCAACTTGAGGAAGATACATCTTAAATATCTCATCTGTATAAAAAACTTAGAGATGAAAAAATGTCAATGACTTAAAACAGACCTCTTTCACTATAACCACATTCAAGAAGGCCCAACGCCTACCAAAATAATATTTAATATAACCACAATAATGCAGTGTTTCCACCTAACTTTATACCCTCAATACATGATAGTCTTAAAATTCCAGGGGATGTTGATCTAATATGTGACTATACTCATATTTACACTGATAATTAGAATGGAATTAAGTTACTTAATTGTAACAACTGATTTTAAATAATAATATAAATAGCTAAGCTAATGCAAATGGAAGGTTTAAAAAAAATAATCCTTAGTAATTTCTATATCTAAAATCCACAATTTATTTATATTGGATCTCATGGGGTTTTGGGGTTTTGGGGTTTTGGGG